CAAAAGAGACGCTCACGGATCAACACCTCAACTTCAAGAACAAAATCATACCCATGGCGCCATGGAAACGTGTGGATACCTCACTGGGCAATCAAGAAAGCTACCGACGAATTAACGGAAAGCAAGGGAAAGACTAAGAGACGAAACACATAAAGAAAGAACAAGATGAAAGGCACCAGTTGCCATCCCTTAAATCAAAGTCTGTCATAAACCATTCAGAGGATTTACCATGGTCATGGTATTGCAATAGTCATGAAACCTCATAAGACTCTCCGAACTACATTTTCTATCCTACCGATAAGACACCCTAGCAAAATATTGCAGAGTTCGTATACAAGATCGGTCGCATCGTATATCGGAGAAACGGGCAAGAGATTCAGGGTCAGACATCAGAAAGACGCGGAATCTCGCGAAAGCAGTAAATTCATCAAATCAGAGCGAAGACATTTACAGTCCCAGATCAATAAGTCGACACTTACAGATCATTCCACACAGCTAAATCGTATCATTGGCAGGGAAAATTCCAAAATAGTCGAATAGGGAAAACAACGTTTTCAGGCGGCTGGTCAAGGAGGGCATCTTGGTACGCCGCACCGGGCCAGTGCCAGACAGGGCAATTTGTCTGAGAAATGCTCAAGATGATATCGCGCGTTGGTATTGATATAAAAGCGGCTAAAATTCACTCTTAGTAGACATCCATCCATTTGCGATCGTTGTCGAAACGAAGTCGGAAAATCCTGTAGAAATTTCCATGAGAGGTCAGTGTTTCGATATGCTACACATACATTCTACCTGTGATATGGCATCACGAAGCGCGCGGCGTCGCACTTTGCCAGTAAATACCTCTATGCCTAGTGGACAAATTGGTCATGTGTTTATGTCGTGGCGGCCTTCGGAATTTTGTATGACATTGGTTTTAATTTCAGTGGGACAAAGTTTGATTAATTTTATTGTCTCAATGTTCCCCAACAAGTCTCTAGGCTTAAGTATGTTATCTTTACATACTTATCAAGTGGGAGTTTCCTCAGATATTTCCTCATAAATTTATAAAATAATGCGTATGTTGTAGCTTTAAACAAATCGTAACACCCTCATATCATTATAATATATCAATTATTGGCAAATCTAAATCCATCGGGAAAAGAAAGTGAGAAATCACACTCTATCACACAGTTTGCTTACATACCAAATCTGAAACCCGTACAGTGCAGTGAACTTAGAAATCACACTATATCACACAGTTTATTTACATACCAAATCTAGAACCCGTACAGTTTAGTGAACTGAGAAATCACACTCTATCACACAGTTTACTTACATACCAAATCTAAAACCCCGTACAGTTTAGTGAACTTAGAAATCACACTATATCACACAGTTTATTTACATACCAAATCTAGAAACCGTACAGTTTAATGAACTGAGAAATCACACTATAACACAGTTTACTTACATACCAAATCTAAAACCCCGTACAGTGCGGTGAACTGAGAAATCACACTATATCACACAGTTTACTTACATACCAAATCTAAAACCCCGTACAGTGCGGTGAACTGAGAAATCTCACACTATAACACAGTTTACTTACATACCAAATCTAAAACCCGTACAGTGCGGTGAACTGAGAAATCACACTCTATCACACAGTTTACTTACATACCAAATCTAAAACCCCGTACAGTGCAGTGAACTGAGAAATCTCACTCAATAACACAGTTTATTTACATACCAAATCTAAAACCCCGTACAGTGCGGTGAACTGAGAAATCACACTATAACAGTTTACTTACATACCAAAATCTAAAACCCGTACAGTTTAGTGAACTGAGAAATCACACTCTATCACACAGTTTACTTACATACCAAATCTGAAACCCTTACGGTGCAGTGAACTGAGAAATCACACTATATCACACAGTTTACTTACATACCAAATCTAAAACCCCGTACAGTGCAGTGAACTGAGAAATCTCACTCAATAACACAGTTTACTTACATACCAAATCTAAAAGCCGTACAGTTCAGTTAATTGAGAAATCACACTCTACCACACAGTTTGCTTACATACCAAATCTAAAACCCGTACAGTTCAGTGAATTGAGAAATTACACTATATCACACAGTTTACTTACATACCAAATCTAAAACCCCGTACAGTGCGGTGAACTGAGAAATCTCACTCAATAACACAGTTTACTTACATACCAAATCTAAAAGCCGTACAGTTCAGTTAATTGAGAAATCACACTATATCACACAGTTTACTTACATACCAAGTCTAAAACCCGTACAGTTTAGTGAACTGAGAAATCATAATTTATAATAGATTTACTTATATACGAAATTTAAAACTCCTGCAGAATATTGTGTTTACCGAAAACAGAGAAGAAAGCTGCGAGATTTTAGGCCTAAAATTACATCCCCAGGGAATTAGATTGGTGTTTAGAACCACGATAACTCATTTTACAGCTCACGATCACGACATCAGTACATATAAACTCATTTAATAGGGATTATAATGGATTCGTTTGGGAATGATTGTCAGTTACCTTAATTACAGTTTAGAATGTGGAATGTTTTAATTCATAAAATAAAATATAATCAAATGTAGAACATTCTGCACTAAAACATAATCAGTACATCTCCAATCAGACTTTGTTGTATAATTATACTACAGCAGTATTTTTTTTAGATAAACGGCATTAAGGACAGGTATCAAACTGTCTCACATCTTCTATTTGACAATTAAAATGATTAAGTGTTTTGGTTTGTTTTAAGGATCCGAATATCACTTGGGGAAGAAACAGAGGTTTCTACTGGCATCCATTTATCACACTTAAAAAAGTAAAATAACAGCGTTCGGGACAATGAAAACCAACATTGATGTAAATAGCCTATGTATAGCGATGTTTACTACTCTCTAGCCTACTGGGTGGTATTAGCTCCGGACACATCCAGTGTGAAACACGAAACGATTTTAATCATCAATACAGCCTCTTTTTCTTATTGAAATCGTACCAAGACATAATGATAAACCCTGATATTGATATATTAAAAGTCAGGAACCGAAGAAAAAAATTTTAAGAAGCACTTTACATATCGATATTTACAATTCTACATAACCAAACGATCGTTAAAGATTATGAACGATCCAGAAAAATGATTATCACTTAGGTTGTACGTCACAATCAGCAGGTCTGTCATCATTATAGATCAAGCCATTATATAATGTTTACTAGAAACTGTAGATAATGGAGATTTTGTTCAATAGGATGCATTTAATTGTAGATAATAACCGCAGAATATTTTAGCTGAAACCTTAAAGCCTGCCCATTACAAAATACTTACTAGGCTATACAGTATATCATGATCAGCACCAACAGCATATCCCTAATCATATATATGAGATAATGTTCTACGGAACAGAATATGGTTAAATAGACAGTGACACTTGTATAAGCTTTGCTAGAAAACTCCTCTTGTGTCTTGCTTTATGTCGATCATGTCAATATTATTTATAAAGCGATATCATACATAATACATTGATATGTTGTTTTTTTTCTGATCACAGATCTACACTTTTGTTTGGCAATCGATGTTAGTAACATGAAGCTTTCCTATCACGTGGTACGTTTTAGTTCGTTTTCACTTGACCTAACTGTAAACATGCATTGCGTGTTGTGTTATTGAATTTAATTTTGGACTATGATGATTTGGATGTGTTGTTGTGTACCATCTCACAGTTTTGTTTTGTATATTTTCAGAGGTAATGCATTGGTATGTATTTTTTTATCACAGATTATGTTTGCTAATCTACGTTAGTAACTTATTTTTTGCCCCGTGTTATTGAATTAGGTTTTGGATTATGAATATGTTGATGTGTTGGTTATTTTTGTTGTTGTGTATCATCTTACCGAGTCTTGTATATTGTGATAAGTAATACTGTTTTGCATAATTTTCTTCTTTGTATACCTGACAAGTAGCAATGTTTGATATATTATCACCTTTTGACAACCTTTGACAATGTTTAGTATATTTTAAGCTTTTACAATGTTTTATATATTTTCAACCTATGACAATGTTTTGTGTAGTGTTACCCTTTGACAAGGTTCGGTGTTTACGGAATTTTAGATTAGATTTTATTGATTACTAGTTATAAATAGAATTTGAATAAGAGCACACACGCGCGCACGCACACACACACACACACACACACACACACACACACACACACACATATATATATATATATATATATAACTGAACTTTGTATGAGAACATCTAAAGTTGAATTATATATACACTGAAAGCAGTAGGGATCAAGTTGTTAAACACCGGGGTGTTTGATATTTCACAGCTACAGGAGGCATGGCGTCGTGATAACCATGATCACAAATCCTTGCACTCATAGCGTTTTAAAGAATCTCCGATGCACTTAAACGTCTATGATTTAGGTACTCTTTGCTGTAAAAAATGCGACTAAACATGTAGGATCTGATAAAGTCATTAGATGCACATCTGATACTTGGTTATAACTATAACTTACACATATCCAGATTATTCAAGTCAGAAATGAACTGCGTGCACGTTACGTTTTTTAAGTATTCGGGAAACCAAGTAATTTTGAAAACCATTAATCTTTTCTTATCCTTTTTATCAATTTTTGAAAGGAGGCGCAACTTTATCTTGATGTGAATCTGTACAGATCTGAAAGTGTTCCGAGACAACGCCAGATTGAAAGCGTAGAAATAAAGGCTTGTTAGAAGCACTGCCAATACAATGAACCTTTTAACGCTTTTGTTTCGTCTGACATTGATCTGAATGCGAGTCAAGGTAATACAATCCTCCATAATATTTTTTGATGGTCTGAAAGAATGTTTTCAGAATTCTACACTTAGTAAAAACAAATATAACCTACTTTCGGTCGATATATATATATATTATGGAAGGTTCGAATGACCCAGTTATCACATTATTCACCTTTTCAGAAACCTTACCTCATAAATGTGATGACTCCCACCCGAGCGATATCGTCACTAACAATCTGCCAAGTGGACGAGACCAAGTGTTTCTGTTCCAATGTAAAATCATCCATATACACTGGATATGGTATGTCAGAATCAGTCCTTACTGTGGTCAAATAGATATCACGGAGGGTGTCTTTTGACAACCTGTTGCGGTCAGACACTATGCACCCCATAATAATGGTCGAGCGACAATGACTTCTAGATAAGCCACAAACTCTACAGTATCACATTGATATGTACACCTGTTGCATTCAGATTCGACTGTCATATGTCCTCGCGAAGCTCATTTGTACAAACTTTACCAACAGTGTAGATTTCCTGGCAGTGAGCGTGTACACCACGCGCAAGTCACGCCACACTTCTGTCAGTGTTTAAAGCTTGCGCTGGGTTCTAATGCGGACAGTGAACAGCTGTAAGTACGAGTGAACAGATATTCTAAACAGAACTTTCTATGGTTTTGGTCCTATTTACAAACAACAAGTACGATTGCCATAGTCTGTAGGGACCAATTTGATGAAAACAGAACTATATTTTTTCATGTTATAAATATGATAAAACTGGAGAGTAGAACTCGGCTAAATCGACATGTCAGATCGAGCGATGGCTCTTAGGTCGTACGGAAACTCGAGTAGCATTTTAAAGAATAATTTCACTTTTGATGTGACTTGTAGCTGATATAGACAAACTATTCAATAGAAAGAAAAAAATACAGATTTGTAGCATAGATTTGATACATCATTCTGAATCATGCTTCCATCTCAAATCGCTCCAAATTCCTTCAAATTCATATCTATGTTTAACCAAAGGTTGAAACACGAGAATTCCTTCATTCATTGAATGCTTTATTCGTCCAAGAGTACAATATCAAGTAATGTCGAGGAATAGAAAGTGACCAGGCAGGTAAAACTAAATGAATAAACATCACGTGATAACCACAAAGGAGCAATAGTCTTTAAAATACACGACAATGAAAAGGATGGCATGGTAAACAAATACATGTGGGCATTATATCACCAGAATGTTATAGTATAGGCTTTTCAACAAAAGAATGATAATTGTTGAGTTGGCCGATATAATTTTCAAGCAGCGCACAAGGTATAATATAGGTGTAAGATATATATGTTACTTAGGTACTTTTAAAATCATTTTCAAAAATCGAGAAAGAGAATTATAATAAGAAACGACAAAAATAACCCCTGACATATTAACAGAATCTTCAAAATTCAAAAACAGATACGATGAAACATGTAACAAATACAAGGACAATAATACCAAAATTCCCTGAAGAGTTTGCTTATAGAAAGACGCCATGTAAATCTTAGACAATCCAAATGAGTGATGCCATGTTCCCAAACATGGTAAACAGAACACTGGCATATTAACGAGCATAAAACATGTCCAGCTTCAGGCATGGGAGACAAAAAAATAACCGACGTAATATTTTGTCTGCTGTTTTTTATATTGCCCTCCTGTGGTCACAACTAGGTCACTCCTACTATAGGTATAACCCTGTGTTACACTGATTTCAATATTCCATTCCTGATTCCTGACTATTTACTAATTTTGACGTCTCCATACTATAAATATAGTATTTGACGTCATCAACCCTAAGTCGCTCTATGCACCTTTCTTGTCAGTCCTACTGATGGTATTAGTATAGTCGATACAGATCATTATTGTACAGAACTCTTTCATTCCCTCTCTATTACTTGCGTGAATATTTCATTACTGAAGGCCTAATATGGGTAGTTATTACCATGATCTGCCTTCTTCTTGATTTACGATCCAGCCGATCTCGTGCTAAATATTTCAGCGGTCATAAGGCCTCGTGTTCATATTTACAAAATGCATCATATGTTTTACTGACATTTGTTACTTAATTGTTAGCGTCATCTTATCATTTTAACATGGTTTGTCATTTGTTACTTTTAATTCAGAAAAAAACTACAAGAAAATAAAAACATGTGAAGATAATTCAAAGTAAAATAACTAGAGCAAAGTATGAACAAACAGATGTACACGGAGACCCCTAAGGCGTCTGTGTCTCCTGCTTTATCGCCGACACTCGCCATATAGATATATAGGTAGGTAAGTCAGTCGAAACCATATATCAATATATATACTTAAAGATGATTACAAAAAGAACATTAATACACTGCTGGATCAGATCTGAAAAAAAAAGAGGAAAAAAGCTGCAGTCAACGTGAGAGAAGATACAGTGGAGCTATGACAGCTTCAGACCGTCCCTCGCTGTGTTGTAGTCACGTCTTTCATATATATCGCGCCTCTCTTTCTTTTATGTGTTGTAATATTGGGAGCAGTTTTATTTATATCCGACTTCGAGAAATTTCCCATATGACAGTTTTGTCCCTATATCCATTTCTGAAAGTTTAGATTACTCGAGCGACTGAGGAAACAACAGTATTAAATGTGTCAGACGACAAGCTTCAAAGAGTACATTGATTTGTTTCTGAAGAAAAACAATCATTTGATCCGTGTGTTTAGAAAGCACGTAGATTGGTTACATCATGTCGAAGCAAAGATATTCTCATTTATATACCGTCTATATCGGCAAATGCAAAAGTAGTATGTTTATGGCATGCTCGTTTTCCTTTCTGTAATACAGACGATGACAAAAAATGTTTGCTATTGGTTATGATGGAGGTGTTGGTGATTGGATCGTTGTAGGCGAGAACTTGTCAAACAGTTGCCAGTATGTCGACATATCAAGTAAGAAGCGAAAGCGACAACATTTTCAATAAACAAAGTGATTAACTGTGAATGCTCCGTAGCTTCATCAACATTGATTCGTTCAACAAGATAGACATACAATATCAAAACCCCAAAAAGAATACAACTACTGAATACGAATTTCCGCAGAGTCAACAGTCATTTGGTTCCCAACAACACCATATAAATGTTGTCACATCAATTCTCTCAGAATGACTTCACGATGGTTTCGCCTGGATATGGCGTATAACCATCCAGAAATTAATAAGAGGAAACCTGAGTAACCTTGGTAACTATGTGTTCAACACACATCAAGGTAAGAAGCCTACGTGAAAGGCGGATGTGTTACCAATGTGCCACCTGACCACCTGTAAAGGCGGATGTCTTGTCAATTTGCCACCTGACCACCTGTGAAAGGCGGATGTCTTACCAATGTGCCACCTGACCACCTGTAAAGGCGGATGTCTTGTCAATGTGCCACCTGACCACATGTTAAAGGCGGATGTCTTGCCAATGTGCCACCTGACCACCTGTGAAATCATTAACTTTATCAGTTACCTTAGCTATTACTCACCTTGTAAGTGATGTTGGAAGTTAAGATCGAAGAAGATGACGTTTGATTTACAGGCCTATGAATCTCAACTTCTACAAAGCTCTTTATGTTTTAGAAAATCTTGATAAATTAAGTGTTTTGAAAATAGCTTGCGTCCGCGTATATCACAAAGCATGCTTCATTTATCAGTCCTTTTAGGGGCAGGGTGGGTGGTAGAGACGGTGCAGACATAGCACGATGTTACATCGGGCTTGTTGTAAAAAGTTCTTTGGAAGTCTTCAAAATCAACATTCCATTAAGTTCCCTCCGGAGAGAAATGAATTATTATAAATCTATCAATGGTGTTTCTATCGAATTTTTACACAAGGAGAACGCAGGGCGAGTGAAAACGGATTCTTACAACAGAGTAGTCTACGATATGCAGCACCCGAATTCTTGTTTATGTAATATGTATTACATTTCCCTAGTTTGAGGACATAAGCCATCATGCCCTTTTGGTCGCTGAGGATATATATGTATAAATTATCGGTATGTTCACTTATCTACCCACATCTGTTCAGGCGACTGAATTAAGGATTAATCGCTAAATTTGCAATGTGCAGCATTTATCTTTAAACCCGCATATTTTACTAATGCAGTGATAAAAATAGGTGATGGAGTAATGGACGACTGAAACTAAAGTCTGGAATCTCAGGATTCTGTGAAATTTTCAGACATAGTTGTAAATCAATGGCGAATTATAAACACAGCTTGGCAATTTGGATCAATCTACGACCACTTAATAAGCCTATTTTTAAGGAACATACTGTATGATCAGATACATATAGAATGTTATTCATTAAAAAAATGGTAATCAGAATGATGGCATCATGAGTGAAAAGAAATGGTATTGTGAAATCAATTACAAATTCAGTATTCCACTGAAAAAAACTTGTTTTCTGTAAGCGAATGGTCAGAGAGTAATCATGTGGCTTAGTAAGTATGTATGTCCACCATGGATTCAAATCGCCAGCAAAAAAGATATAAAAGGTATCACTACAGAAGTGAGCGTTTTCCCCCCAAAATGTACTTATCGCATACGGATGTATTCACTCTGTAACAAACATTCTGTATGAGCAAAAAGCATTCTTACGTCTCAACCACGCCAAAGTACATACTTTACTTTTACAAATAAATCAACAAGACAACGTTCAAAATGAGGTCAGAAGAAACATCATGCAGGTAAGCCTCCGTCTTTTCATAATCTAGTTTATTTTAACGAGGGAGAGGGGAAATTTGCATAATCAGATATTTTGCTGGGTCGGTTTTGGACTCGATGTCTTTGTCCTGATATATCATTGCTAGTTAATCAATAGAAAACCATACGTTGTTTCAACGGGACACTGGTGATGAAATGACTCATTGGATGAGCGTATTGTAGAATGTTAAACAAAAAAAGAGTAAAGTGGGTTTTTTTAGGAAATTATACAAAAGGCACACAAATGAATAGGACATTCTTAAAGAATTAGACAGAGCAGAGCGGAACAATGAATAAACTACATCATATAGCAGCTGTTTTGTCCTTCGACGGCTTGTCAGTAAGGACCTTAATTCTGGATACTTTTTTATATAAAGTAAATTTCAGGAGAACATCTAGTACATATAGAAAGTCTGAACCACGCCACTATCTGAATGGATAAAACGTGGCACACCAAACCAAACCTCAGGGACTGAAAGACACCTGCAGTGTCTACCGTTTGTTATCTAGAAGATTTTGTAGAAAAAATACATTCAGAATCGGAAACAAGACCTTCTATAATAATGGAAAGCAATAGATAAATTATTGAATTAGATATAGACTTATTATTAGTTACATGGTTAACGGTAAACTATATATTGTTATGTTAGATGGTTTGCTGTAGACTTGATAACAATGTCAGAGTTTTTACTGATCAAACCTCTGGATGTCATATCCTTATTCCAAACTTACTGATGAAAT